GAGTTCCCAGACCTCAGTCGAAGCATTCGTTTATCTAGGTATAAACCCTTTGCGCGAAGAGTAACACTTGCCAGAGACACGGGGTACCACTTGATTTGCATCCACGAGCGTGACACATTTCTTTAACAATTGAAGCCCTTGGTGTAAAAAGGATCCAAGTCACAATTTGTCGTGAAGTGACTGTTTTAGCTCAAAACATTTGTTAACGAGGATTTTACTAGCCACATACAAATTATTTTACCTCTAATCCGAAAGATGTGCTATTTTTCGTAATATTTATATTTAAATAATTTTTTTAATTATATTTGACAGATTTAAAACAAATTAAAAATTTAATTTCCCAAAACTTACTTAACATGGCATGTAACCAACCTTATTACGTCAAGGTTTTCAATTTTTCAATAATAAAAAAATTGCTTAATCCGGGCACGACTTTTCCCTTTAATCTAACAGAGATAGCACCATTCCGTCTTGCTTGGTTCTCGACCGCCAGATCAAAGACGCCGACACGGAGTTGTGGAGCTGTATTGTATACGCTGTGGTATTATATTGTATTCTTTTTTATTATTATAACCCTCTCTAAAACTATTGTCGTTATTTTTTTATTGTATTACCGTTTCAAAAACGAAGCCCTAATTCTAGAGCAACAAAGTTGTGACATTTTTAATCGTTAAAGCTGATCTGAAAAGTAATCGTAGAAAAATTAAATTATTTTCACGCTGGACATATCTAATTTAAACCGAAATTCAAAAAAAGTTCACCTCCCAAATCATTAAACGTTGAGATCAAGATCGAACCGATTAAAGTAATAAATTCAGCGTTAGACAGTTTCAAGGATACCTTGAGTTGTATAATTCGCAAACGTATCGGTCCTATCTGGCAGAGATAAGCCATGGAAAAGACAAGTCGAACTTTGTGAAGAATTTATTATTTTAGTTGTGAACTTCGATTTGTAAAAAGTACCTGTCTGCCTAGTCCGTTGTTCAAAGAGAAATGGCGTATCAGAATTGGATTTTTTTCTGATCGTTCGTCATTTTTATCGCAAAGTTATTTTTAAAAATTCCAGAAATTCTTTATTGAATCGTAGTTTCGTCTGTTAGTGCCAAACATTAAGAAGTGTTTGGCAAATCTGGTCTTTTCAGAAATTTATCTTAAGCTTTTTGGAAAACAGATTGGATTAGTATATAATGTATAGCTTTCGTAACAACTGGCACATTATTGCGGTTATCAACCTTAGTTTTCTCCTTTTCTTTCAGCCTATGGAAAATTCTTTATTTGGCACAAACGACGATTATTTTACCTTCAATTCAGGTAGGTAATTAATCTCGGGAATTTTTCATCTCCATCTGCAGTTCTCTAAGTAATTTTGATGCCGCCTCAAGAATTAGTGAAGTAAACCACTTCATATAATCTGGCGCCCGAGTAAAAAAAAATCACGAATTATTTGTTATCTATCACCTCAATGTGCTCTCGTCACTTTAAGCTCCTCGTTTTATTTTCATTCGAAAAAATAACCGCTGCATCGCAGTTGGCAGAGCGTCGTCGACTCAAATGACATTACATCTCGACGAATCATTGTCAAATAGTCTTATCGTCACGAAATCTGGGCGATCGTCGAGCGCGTCCTATCTTTGAACAACCTGCCTTTGCAGATCGCCGATACGATTAAAGATATCTGAAGCATGGCAAGCTTTGATAATCGCGAAATATACTCCGCACCACCGGCGATAGAGTTGGTACCGATTTACAAGATAGAGATGGAGAGGTCGAAAACGGTTTTAAAGTTGCAAACGAATTCTCGACCGTTTTAAAGGGAACATAATAAAAATAGTCAGTTTTTGTATAATTATTTGTTTTTCTTAAAACGTATGAACCAATTGTAGTCTTTTCATCATATCCTAAAGCCAAGCAGCCAATAAAACGCTGAGCTACAGGAAAATACAGTTACTCTAGCTGCATTTTGTTAAGCAACTCGAACTTCATCAGCTGACGCTAAAAATTTTGACTATTAACTTACTGTCGGTTTAAAACAATTTTTTCGCTTTGGAATTAACGCAATTTTCAAATGATGACAATATTTAAAAATAAACAATCTGAAACCATTGCAATAAACGAATATTATCAAAACAACAACAAAAATTGAGATCAATTGATTTTTATAAAAGTTACTTATACTAAAATAACGATGCACCTCTATAGCTCGATGAGGTGTATTTGATTCAAATCGTCTTGACGTAAATTGAATCTTCATTGATTTCTTCGTGATTTTATTAAGTTTAATACGATCAAAGGTTTTAATTAAGGCGATATCGCCACGTTGGTCATCTGCTGTATTAGTTAGATGTCAAGATATCTTTATGCTTCATTAAATTTTATTTTTTTGGGCATGCCGGCCATATCTTAAAGCAAATTTTTGAAGTTTGCCGAATTAATGACTTAATTGGTAATAGGTTTTATCAAGATAAAGTACTTTTCTTTATATAATTCTAAAGTAAACAAAAAAATATATATATATATATATATATATATATATATATATATATATATATATATATATATATATATATATATATATATATATATATACATCATTCTATCATTGTTGCGTCCATCAACATCCTAATCAAATATCTTATTACGTCCTTTGAATTATTGCGTCCGTATATCGGACGTAATAATGTAAAATAATGTAAACCCATATATTTAAAGATACAAATTTTCCACGTATATTTTATAAGAAATATTTTTCTATATCTATATATGAAAATGTTGGTTTTAAATATCGCAGGGTGCTAATTTTCCTGTTAAAATTCCTCTAAAATTCTATGTTCTACCCCTACGAACAATTTTACCATTCTTTGTGTGTACAAGAATCCATTTTTAAAATTTTGAGACATCGTAATATTTATATATGCCACTTTGTAGGGTACAACACCGCAAACCCCATATTCATAGCGAAGTATTTTATTTTATATAATTAACAAATTTCTTGTGTTCAACACATTCTCAGAGCCATAAAATTTGATTTATGATGATTTACAAAAAAAAAACTTTCAAAAAAGTAACTGGCATCTAAATTACACGTTTTGCAATTGTAATTTTGCAAAAACACTGTAGCAAAGTGTCTAATGAGATTCACACAAATTAATAAAGACATAAATTTATTTTTGAAATGTACTTAATAGTTACAGCATAACTACTATTGGTAATATGTATAATAGTGAATAACCTGAGAAAGGACGAAATACTTTAAAGGGCATTTCTTGGGGATGCGATGTTGCCGTAACAAAAATGAACTAGCTAACTTAATTATTATAAAGTAATAAAGCTAATGCTTTCACACATAAAAATTTGATTATTCATTTATATTGGTTGTTGACATATATGGTGCATCGATCTATCATTGCGTGGAAGTCCAATGTTTCTTTCATCTCTATTATTTTTTTAGTTATCATTAAAAAAGAAAATTGTCAAAAACTAACACGTTTAGACCCTATATTTGCGATGATGTTTCATACTTGGTAGGTACTTTCCCTATTTAAATTATATTAGTAAGAATGATGAAAGGAAAAGGAATGACATACGACAGTTGAGGATATGAATAAAAATGGACCTGTTTTGAGTTTTTTTTTTTAACTCTCCGGTATATACCGAACTATCAATAGTCACCCATGTTAGCTTGTAGTAAGTTTTACACAAACCATTCAAAAGAAATCGCCAATCTTAAAAAAAATATATTTATTGTTTTTACAAAGTTACTAACAATTTTAAAAAACGTTTTACAACTGCTTTGAATTACTACCAACAATTTTACAATATGCCGTTCATAATGATGATATTTTTTGTACATTTGAGCGTTTTATAATTTGATTGATGATAGATCACGTGACCAATAAATGGCCGACTGCTTTAAACCTGATTTTTATCCGATGAAAATTACTTAAGTACGACTGTTATTTTCAGATTTTGAAATTTAACTGTCAAACTGTCTTTATTTAATGAAAACAAACAATTCGAAGAACTTTTTTGATAAGGATAAATAATGAAAGACAAGTATATTATTAAAAAATATGCACTTGCCGTCATTTGCTTGCTGTATACCTAACTCTGACAATCATTTTAAAAGTTTGTCCATTAATAAAACCCAGTGAGGTTCTTCATTTATATTATTGAGATTTTTGAGCGAACTTTTTTAGTTTGCTTATCTTTTTAATAATAATTAACTAATTTTAGATAATGTCACGTGATCCATCAGTGCATCAACATAATCTAGTCGATGTGGTGACAACCGTCTGCGAATTAAGTTAAATTTAAAAATATGATGTTTGACTCATCTAAAAACGTTCAAAGTATAAAGCAACAGTTTTGATAAATGTTGCATGGCATCGATGAATATTATAAAACGCCTTTTCTGAAACAAAATATAAACTTTTACAAACATAATAAGAAATAATATCATTTTTCTAACATTTTTCTTATTTGTGAAAAGCTTTTACCTCTAGTTTCTGGTAAGAAAATATATATTAAAATACAATTTACAAAAGTACAAAAGCTGAAAAGAAACAAAAAATAATAAGAACCTAGATAGTGGCTTATCAAGGGGTATGTAAATGCTACAATTAATAATAATGAATTACTGATAAAAAAAATAATGCCCGTTCCAATAGCTCTTAATTCATCAGGAAGTATTTCTGAGACCACTGTATAAGGTACCCCACCTAAGCCTAAGGTGTAGGACGCAACGAAAACTAATATACAAATAACTGGCAGTAATCGTAAATTATCTGGTATATCGATGTTATTTTCTTTACAAAAAAAATAAATAGCTAAACCAAACATAGACACTGAACACAGAAAAGATCCTAATAACAAAAGTACTTTTCGTCCTACTTTGTCTACAATACAGGAACAAATAATGCCGCTAACTATTTTAAGCAGAACTGTAAAAATTGCTAGTGTATCTCCAGATAATTTACTACCAGCTTCGTTTAAAAGCTTACTTAAAAATGATACAATAATATATATACCAGATAAAGATGAAGTATCACGAATCATTAAGGACAAAAAGAAGGCTTTTCTCCCTGCGCTACTTTGGAATAAATTCTTATAGGAACTCATAGTGTGCTTAGTTTGAAGCATATTTTGTTTTTCTTTCATTTCTTCTTCTAGCTCAATGGGTATTTTATTTCGTCTTAATTTTTTTAAAGATATATTAGCTCTAGCAGGGTCGCCCTTGATAAAAAGAAAAACTGGAGATTCTTGTGTAAAAAAAGATATTAAAATATGTAGTAGCAATGGTGCTGCGCAACATAAGCAAAAGGTTCTAAAATTTGTTACTGGAGCCAATAAAAATGTGTATAATTGTCCTACAGTTTTCGATATCGCTACTGCTGTTCCTAAAAATCCTCTGTTTTGAATTTCGGATATTTCTGATACGTACGTTGGTACCACTATTGTACCAGCAGATATAGTGATAGTTAAAATTAAGAAGGTAATACAATACAACCAAAAACTCTTAATAAACGATAATACAACAAACGAAGTTAATCCAATGGTTGCTAAGTAGATCAATATTCTTTTCCTTCCAAAAATATCTGGCAGTTTGGTTATAATGGGAGCTGATATTAATGATCCTATTGGATATATTGATGTACATATTGACAACTGAACTACTGTCAACGGTGTTCCTAAGGGATTGACCTCTGTATTATTTGAACTAAATGTTGTTAATACAGGAGAGTTCCATGCTAATATATTTCCGTAGGCAATGAAGATAAGGTTTGCTAAAAAAGAGAAAATTGTTTTGAAGAATTCTTTTTCTGGAATGAGTTAGCCAATGGAAAGTAAAACACACTGGTTTAAAAAATATACTAACATATTTTGTGACGTAATAATGGATTATAAAACTTTTCATTTAATGCAAGAAGAATGATGGTATATGGTGTCGGGCTTCAAGCTATTATAAAATAGTTTGCTTTGTAGGAGAACGTTTAGCTATGCTTTGTTCTTTATTTAAATTTTGTGAAAGTAATTCTGCTAAATTGGTTAAAAAGGATTTATACCAGAGGTATCTGGTTTCAATATGATAGTGCTAGACCCCATTTTCTTATATCGATCAATTTAAATCAAGATTTACCCTATTACGCATAAATGAATAAGTCGTTTCTGTCCCGTTAACTGGACACCAAGATCGCCTAATCTTACACCTTTGGATTATTTTTTATGGGGCCGACTTTAACTCGGAGGTCTTCGACGTGAAAAATGATGGGCACAATTTGTAATGTATCTGACAACAATACAAATAACCTGGGAATGATTAATAAATTAGTAAAAAACTTATTGTAAGAACGTCATGAACGTGCCATCGAATATTATTACATTATTTTAATAACTGATCCATGCACTATTTAAATAGTAATTAACCTTTGGTTTGATATCTTAGGTAAGAAGAACAATGATAAAAAAAAAGAAATTTCGGTTCTGGAATTTTTCAAATTAAAATACGGCTTTGATTAACCTACAAAATTAGTAGCTGTTCCAAAAAAAATACCAATTTTAATTTTAGAAGATAATCTTAAAACGATTAAGATTGAATGCTAGACACGGGGGTGTTTTGAATTCGGATATTTATTGTGTTCTACCTCCCAATAAACTATAAACGTTTAAATCTGGAACAAGCTGTATATTAAATTTTTTTAATGATTTTAAAAATACAATTTTTCTTTAAAATTTATAGTATTTATTTACCTGATAATGTTGACAGATACAAAACCCAGTTATTACAAATTTTCGACATATTTCGCACCTTCGCAATTTTTTTTATTCAATAACTCGTCTGATTTGGTTTATTGTGTCTTCACAACTTAACTGTAATAATTGATATTAAACAATAAAAAACCCAAAATTTTCAACTGAGCTTAATTATTTAACATCTTTTGAATATTATTTACAAACTAATTATATCACAAAAGTATTTATAAAAAATAGAGTTTCGGGTCAATTATTTAATGACTGTTTTCAGTTAAATTGATTAAAATTTTAAAAATATAATTAAAAAAGATATATTCAATTTTTTATCGACAATTGACAAAAATTGTTAAATTAGGCATATCATAATAAAAATCACAAAAAAATATATATTTCATTCAATAACAGAAGGTATCGTTAAAAGTTTATTGATTGATTTTGTTTCCTAAGGCGAAAATCATACTTGGACCAGTTTCGTTCTTATTAGGATTCATCAGTAAGCATTAGACCATCTCAACTTTAGTCTTTAATGAATCAAAGCTGGAGTAGTAAATGATTTTCTATCTCTGCTCTTTTCCTACTGATATAATGCAACATTTCTTGCATCAAAAAGGTTAACGATTGACCAAACCGATTTCCATGATTATATTTACTCAAGCATTATAATTATATAAATTAAAAAATTTGTCACGTACCTATTTGAAATTAGCAACTTTTTTATTAAATAAAACATGTTGACAAACCTCCATCCATATATTTTTAGTTTTTATGCTTCCAGATTTAAAAAAAGCCTAATTCGAACTATTAAGTTTTTTAGGTATATTAGGAATTTTGTGCTTTCTTCAAATAAACTATATTTAACAAATATTTACACAGTAAATTTTTAAATTTGTCTCAGTTGTACTTTTTACTATACGCAAAATATAAATATTGATGAACATAATTAGAAATATAATCATTTTTCCAATATTTTTCTTATTTGAGCAAAGCTTTTACCCTTAGTTTCGGGTAAGAAAATAATTATTAAAATAAAACTTCCAAAAGTACAAAAGCTGAAAAAAAACATGAAATAATAAGAGCCTAGATAGTGGCTTATCAAGGGGTATACAAAAGCAATTATTAATAAGATTAAATTACAAATAAAAAAAATAATGCCCGTTCCAATAGCCCTTGCTTCATTAGGAAGTATTTCTGAAATTACTGCATAAGGTATTCCTCCTAATCCTAATGTATAGGAGGCAACGAAAATAAATATACAAATAACTGGCATTATTCGTAAGTTGTCTGGTATATCGATGTTATTTTCTTTACAGAAAAAATAAATAGCTAAACCAAACATGGACACTGAACACAAAAGAGTTCCTAATAACAAAAGTACTTTTCGTCCTACTTTGTCTACTATACACGAACAAATAATGCTGGTAGCTATTTTAACCAAAACGGTAAAAATGGCTAATGTATCTCCAGATAACTTACTACCAGCTTCGTTTAAAAGCTTACTCAAAAACGACAAAATAATATATACACCAGATAAAACCGGTGTAGAACGAATCATTAAGGCCAAAAGGAAGGCTTTTTTTCCTGCGGGACTTTGAAATAAAACCCTATAGGGACTCACAGTTAGCTTAGTTTGAAGCATTTTTTCTTTTTCTTTCATTTCTTCTTCTAGCTCAATGGGCATTCTATTTCGTCTTAATTTTTTTAAAGATATTTTAGCTCTTTCAGTATCGCCCTTGATATAAAGAAAAACTGGAGATTCTTGTGTAAAAAAGGACATTAAAATATGTAATAATAATGGTGCTCCACAACATAAACAAAAGGTACTAAAATTTGTTACTGGAGCCAATAAAAATGTGTATAATTGTCCTAAAGTTTTTGATATCGCTACTACTGTTCCTAGAGATCCTCTGTTCTGAATTTCGGATATTTCTGATACGTACGTTGGCACCACTATTATACCAGCCGATATACTGATAGTTGAAATTAAAAAGATTATGCAATACAACCAGAAATTATTAACAAACGATAATACAACAAGCGATGTTAATCCAACAGTTGCTATGTAGATCAATGTTTTTTTCCTGCCGAAAATATCCGGCAGTTTGGTTATAATGGCAGCTGATATTAACGATCCTGTTGGAAATATTGATGTACATATTGATAATTGAACTACTGACAACGGTGCTCCTAGGGGATTGACTTCTGTATTGTTTGAACTAAATTTTGATAATACTGGAGAATTCCATGCTACTATAGTCCCGTATGCAATGAAAATTAGGTTTGCTAAAAAAAAAACAAATACGTTTTAAGGAGGCCCTTTCGCCACCAATGTTAAATAAAAAATATTAGATTATGACTAAAATTAATTTTTTTCTAATAGTAGATGTCCTTACTTATCTAATAGTGAACTTTTAACTATACCTTACCGTGCAAATTTTTTTTTAAATGTGTGTGTTTGTACAGTGTCTTATGAGAAAGTAAGACTTCAACAACAATTTTCGAATTATAATTAATTTTACTATTATTTATTGATTAGATGGAGTAGAAAAAAACTAAAAATAAGGTTTTTGAAATATTTAGGTTTTGTTTTTTACAATAAAATATATAGGTTACCGTGGAATTTATTGAGAAATCATTATTAAAAAATTACAAAAAATTTTCAACTAGGTTACTTGAAAATTTTTTGTGATTTTTTAATATTAATTTCTCAATAAGTTCCACGGTTTACTATATATATTTTATTGTATAAAACAAAATCTAAATATTTCAAAAACCTTATTTTTAGTTTTTTTCTACTCCATCTAATCAATAAATAATAGTATAATTCGAGAATTGTTGTTGAGGACTTACTTTCTCGTGAGGCACTGTAAAAATACTCACATTTAAAAAAAAAAAATTCTCAAAAATTTGCAAGATAAGGTATAGTTAAAAGTTCAGTATTAGATAAGTAAGGACTTCAACTATTAGAAAAAAATTAATTTTAGTCATAATCTAATAACTTTTTTTTTAACATTTGAGGCGAGAGGTGTGGCGAAAGGACCTCCTTAAAACTTTATTCCGGAATAAAAGAGGTAAATTAAAGAAAAGTTAATGTTACTAAAGTACATTAGAGATGTTGTATATCTCTGATACGAATCAAACATGTTTTTTTAAGAGAAAACTATAAATGAACAGATTGTAGCGGTCACACCGATGTACAAGCTTAACCAGTGTTTCACGCCACATATAGAGTTGCCAACTTAAACGAATAAAATTGTTTGAATAGAAAAAATAGGGTATTTGGAAGAAAAAGTATTTTTCAAGTTTATGTTTTTATTGCCTTAAAAACATATGTTTGTTTGCGTTTAGCATATGTTAACAATTTTTTTGCTATCTTCCAATGTTTCAAAGCTTGCTTTTTAATGGAAACTGCTCGATTTCTCTCTTTTTGTCAATTCAAATTCACTACCGAAAAAACTCTCAATGCAAGCTGGAGTGGTGAGAACAGAGAGTAAATAATTATATTTACTTTAAAAAAATGGATATTATTATAAACAAAAATAATGGACAAATTTCATACAATTTCGTTGATAGTGTCACCTGTCACATCTGACATCTAACATTTTGTTCAGTAATTATTAATCGTTCTTATTTACTCATAATGATTGGAAGCAAAGTATTCTTGCTTACTTTATTTTTTTGCAAAAGTATAAAGAGGGCCAATCTGACCCATCAATTGTATATAACAAAAATATTTGTATACCTGTGATTCATGAAAGTCCTGGTGGTGAAGATACTTAAATTCCAAGGGTTCCTCTTACTAAACACATTTTATTTAAAATATATATATATATATATATATAAAATTCAAACTAATTTATTGGGGGCAGCAGCAATATGTAATAAAGAAAACTCTTTAAAGATGATCCAAGCTTTCGGAAATTTAATTACTTATTTCCATCTTCAGGGAATCTATAAAAGGTGTGGTGTGTCTTCATAAGAACTTAATATTATTAAGAGAGTGAGTTACTTACATCTTTGTGAGGATGAATTACTAATGATGTTAAATATGTTAAATGTTATGATTGTGATGCACATATAGAACTTCTATTACACAGTTTTACAATATAAGTTAAAATTATTGTGGTTAAAATTCAGTTACATAGAATTATGTCAAGTTTGAAATTTAACTGTTATGTCAAATTTTATGTAATTAAATTTCCGAAAGCTTGGATCATCTTTAAAGAGTTTTCTTTATTACATATTGCTGCTGCCCCCAATAAATTAGTTTGAATTTTACGTTACTATTCAGCAAAGACTACCCTTCCACTATATATATATATACTTTTTACATTATATACATTACATTTTCTTGAAAATTTATTAGCCTAATCCGTGTTACATAATTTATTTCCTTTTTATTATAATGGCGGGGCTTAGCAGACAGTTGTTGTGCCCGCGACTAATGATAGAGCAGTGTGTGAAAGGGAATGAACAAGCTAAAAGCTTTGACGTAATACATTTTAACCAATGAGAGCGCCTGACGCGCATGACATATTTATCTGTTAGATAAATTCCTTACCTGCAGAGAGTACAAACTACAGTGTCGGTTGAAGGGATTATTATTATTGAATGTATTTCAACACAAAGAATTAAAAAAAAATTAAAAGAATATTTGTTGTAGTGGCGTAAAAATAGGGGGATTTAAGTTGCCACTAACCTATATCTGTGAATCTGACCAACGAACTTTGAAAATGTTTGTTTTACAAGCGGTTTGCGTTGACCACAATTGAACACCCACCAACTTTTTTGACCACCTTTAGAAACCTAAATATTTAAAAAAATAGTAAAGGTCGAGTTTTTTTATTGTTAAAAAAATATCACTCATTATTAACTTTCGGTATAGGAATACCAATTAAAATTGAAGCGTACAAACAGGGCGCTGATTTACTTACGATTTTCATATAATACTGGCAATTTTTATTAGAATACCATTGAGAAACTATATGTTAGAATAAAGGGAACAATTTATATCTAGTATAATATATCTAATTGGGTAAAAAAACATGTTTGGTTCGTATCTATCTAACTTTAAAATGTGGTCACATACTACCCCATAATTTTTGTTAATACATATTTTATAATATCTTACAATAAGGAAGATATCGAATTTTTCCATAAAATGGTATACCCTATATATAAATATTTTTCTAGTATTAAATTTAATATACATATTTTAATTAGATATTTCTATATGAAGGTTTTAAACTTAAAAAAATGCAAATTTCCATTATTTATTTACCTGATAATGTTGACAGGTACAAAACCCAGTTGTTACAAATTGTCGACATATGTATTTCACACTTTTGCAACTTTTTTTTTATTTAATGGATCGTTTGACATGGCTCATTGTGTTTTCACCACTTAACCGTAATAACAATTATTAAACAATTAAACACAAACTTGTCAACTAAGCGTGATTATTTTACATCGTTAAAAAATTATTTACAAATTCATTATATCACAAAAGTATTTATAAAAAATAAGGTTTCGGTTTAATAATTTATTTACTGTTTTAAGTAAATATTGATTAAAATTTAAAAAATGTAATTTAAAAGGGTAATTTTAATAAGGTACTTAAAAAATACACCTAGAACCAATCACAAACTGATTAAAAGTGGTTGTAGGTATATTTTTTGATTAAAACAGTTTTCGGGTCGTATAAAAAATATTATCAGCACATCACTGGTAATTTAGTACACTATGAAATTTCACCTGTACCTATTATTATCCATACATTTTTAAAACTCTTTTTGATCTTCATATAAATACAAAATACAAATTAATAAAAACAGTTTAAGTATGCCTAAAATAGTTCATTGTTTAAAGATAAAAATATGGTTTTCTAGGTTATAATGTATCATAAAAATATTGCTCGAGAATGTGTCACATACGAAATGCTTCCTAGATATAGGGGGTAATTATGATAAGAGCTACAGTATCTGTCACAATTGTATGTGATCTATTATTGGGACTTTCTGTGGAATTAAAACCTCTAAAGACTAAAAATTTCTCAAAATAATTATATTTTAAAACAATAGTGTATGATAAAACTCAATACATAAAAATATGGTCCATTTAGAAAATAAATTTGTAAATCCATAATATGACGGCGACTATAATGACACCTTCTCGTACATCTATCTCTGTATCACATCTTTACTTTATAAACAGAGCAACATATAAATATCTATGAAGATAACATGAAAATAAATCATTTTTCTAACATACTCCTTATTTGTGAGAAGCTTTTACCCTTAGTTTCGGGTAAGAAAATAATTATTAAAATAAAACTTCCAAAAGTACAAAAGCTGAAAAAAAAAACATGAAATAATAAGAGCCTAGAAAGTGGTTTATCAAAGGGTATCCAAAAGCAATAATTAATAAGATTAAATTACTAATAAAAACAATAATGCCCGTTCCAATAGCTCTTGATTCATAAGGAAGTAGTTCTGAGGTTACTGCATAAGCTATCCCTCCTAATCCTAAAGTATAGGAGGCAACGAAAATAAATATACAAATAATTGGCATTAATCGTAAGTTATCTGGTATATCGATGTTAGTTTCTTTGCAGAAAAAATAAATAGCTATACCAAACATGGACACTGAACAAAAAAGAGTTCCTAATAACAAAAGTACTTTACGTCCTCTGTATTGTTAGAACTAAATTTTAATAATACTGGAGAATTCCATGCTATTATAGTCCCGTAGGCAATGAAAATTAGGTTTGCTAAAAAAAAAAGAAAATTATTTTAAAGACTTCTTTTTCTGGAATGACTTAGTCAAGAGAAAGTAAAACACGCTGGTTTAAAAAACACAATAACATATTTTATTGGAAATATACAACTTTACGAAGAATGAAAAGAAAAGGTTTGCTAAAAAAAACAAACAAATCGTTTTGAAGACTTCTTTAATTTATTCCGGTATAAAAAAGTTAAACTAGAGACTATGAGAATTTAAATAAAATGTTGCTAAAGCCAAGTTAATATTACTAAATACATTAGAGGTGTTGTATAACTCGGATACGAACCAAACATGTATTTATTTAAAGAGAACACTAAAAATGAACAGAGAATTAAAAAAATGTGTTGCAGTGACGTAAAAATAGGGGTATAAAAGTTGTCACAAACTCTGATAAAATTTTCGAAAGTTAGTTTGTCAAAATACTGCTTTCTTAAAGAGGAAATTGGTCACCAAATTTTATTTATGGCAAATTTTTAATCATTTTATGAAGACGTCTCAGTATATTGCAAGTGATTATCACTTAATTTTTAGTCCAGGTGATGGCCTAAGGCCGAAATCGATTATTTGACTTAATGAAATTTGTTTATGTCGATTTGATTTTATCTTTAAGATACCCTCTTTCAGTTCCTTTTTATAGGCCAGTCAACAAAGACACCCTATTTTGAAAATTTCACAATCAGCCAGTTTAATTAACATTAAGTTTAAATTTGCAACCATTTCCAAAGTCCGGAATTAGTTAATTTATAGCAAAATAGCGGTTTTGTTTATAATGTTGAGAACAAATTGCAAAAGAGCAAACCATTACCTAGAAAATAGTCCAAACAATGAATCACGAGTGAATAAAATTTTATCTAAGAGCTAAAATTAGAAACCCAGCGGTCTCCGTTATCCGCAAAAATTTCAACTGGACCCTCAACTCCGTCCACTTCAAAACAAGCGACTGCAAACTAATATCGACTTATCCAAATTCACTAGCGCCATCTATTGGTAGTATCCATTTCGCTCTAATGAAATTTCCATAAGGTGAGACTACTATTAGTTCCTTATACAATGATACAACGATGTTACAAATCTTTGATCACGTGATTCAAAATACATACATGTAGTAGAACTGATGTGCGACAAAACAAACGCTTGATATGTAAAAATGCATCGGATGGGATATTCAAACGCAGCAAATATATTTCTGATTTTCTGGGTAAAAAAAAAATATGTTTGGTTCGAATCCAAGTTATACAACACTTTTTACACCCCTATATCGCCGTTCCGGTAAAACAATGACGCAAGTGCAAAATTGTGACATTTTGATTTTAACATGTCATTAGTTTCCAAATTAGTCTCTCTATACGGTATAACCACGGCGAAATTTTTTAGCCACTCCCGGCCATCTAAATGGTAGTTACTTCAATTTTCAAATATTAATGTTTGCCCCTCCACTTTTGAAAAACAATGACATATGAATCAGTTGTGTCTGCAAATTTAAGGGAGACATTACTTAGTCTATGGTTAAATGTTGTATTTGCTATTTAGGACAAGTTCTTTGTGATTTATGTGCTCAAATTTGGAAGTAATAATATTCGTTTTTCGTCTCTCCTGAAAAATTTATAATTTTGCATTTGCGTCGTTGTTTTACCGGAACAGCGATATAACTTTAAAATGTGGTCCCCATACTACTCCATGATTTTTGTTAATACAGTTTGTTATATATTTTACAATTTTTCCAAATAAATATTTTTCTGCTATTGAATTAAACATGCATATTCTAATCAGATATTTTTATATGAAGGTTGCAAACGCGTTTATACTTAAAAAATGCAATTTTCCATTAATATTTATATTATTTATTTACCTGATAATGTTGACAGATACAAAACCCAGTTGTTACAAATTTTCGACATATTTCACACCTTTGCAACTTTTTTTTTATTGAATGGATCGTTTGACTTGGCTCACTGTGTTTTCACGACTTAACCATAATAACAATTATTAAACAATTAAACATAAATTTGTCAACTAAGCGGATTATTTTACATCGTTAGAAAATTATTTACAAATATACTTTATAACAAAATATTTATGGAAAATTATATTTTCGGATCAATTATTAAAATTTTAAAAATATAATTAAAAAAAAGGTGGGTATAATAAATTTTTATAAGCATTGATAATCACTCTGTCGCCTTAATCAAATATCTTTCTCATTTAATAATAAAAGATAACTGCATCAAAAATAGCAATTGTCGTTATAAGTTCGGTAAGTGACTTATTGCAATACGAATCCATTTGACGAATTGACTTGACATATTGTTTATCAAAAAGAAAAAATCTTTTAATAGTTTTAAGCTTGTTAATTTTTATTGAAAGAGACCTATTATTTGAAGTAAATATTTGACTTTTACAACTTAAGCAGACAGAGAAAAACAGAAAATCTCTGTATTTTTTTTTATTTACAACAAAAAAAATAAATGGACCCCTCGTTGTTTATTTAAAATATCTAAAAAACCGGCCCTGATATGGTTGACATTTTTTGCTATTAAATTGCTTATTATGGTTTAGAACAGAAGATAGTAAAGTGCCCCTGTAAAAATTGCCCACCTTATTACACCTTTTATTTAATAATGTGTTTTATGTTGTCTCCAAGAAAGTAAAAAGAAACCAAAAGATCATTAAGGCAAAAGATTAAGTGAACTTTCGAAACCTCCCCAAAGATACGCCTATGGAACCCGAGATTCGAAATGAATGATCATATTGGAATGCACAAAACCCGATGAATTATCTTTTTTTTTGGAGAATGCACTTAAGTTTGGTACAGTGGAGGAAATGGTGGAACGTGTCTTGGATTTTCAAGACAGGTCAGAAGCATAACATTTATACATAAAGAGGGCTAAAACTAAATGATTAATATAGATATATCAGTATGACATTTAAAATGTATGGGTAGTTATTCATTAATTATTCAAAACAATGTTTACTTTTATGTTTTATCACTTTCTTATGATAGGGTAAGGCAGATACCACCCGAATCTCATATTAATAGTTACAGAAAGAAAAGACCTATCTGAAAAAAACACTATAAATATATAGGGCGATTCATTTAAAATTTTATGCGATGACGTCATATCTTGATAAATATGACAGGCATCAGTCAATTTTAAGTACAATTCTTAAATGAGCCACAAATCGACCGATCCGTCAATTTTGCCCAACCCTGTATATTTTAATTTAATATTTCAAATGTAACACATAGTAAATATGATTGATGTTCATTACGATTTATGAATGACCATTAATATGATATTATTATGTTTTTACACTTTTAACAAAATTGTTAAATTAGAAAGAATTTTTTACACTTTAATGGAAATACCAGAACTTTTTAATGTAACTATAAAAATGATTATTATTACAATTTCATTTAAATCATAATGAATGTTAAACAAATCCCTAAACATCAGCAGTTCTGTCCAGAGACGTACGCTACAGTGTTTATGAAATATATTATAATTTTTTTCTACAAAGTTTTTTCAATTGTTAAGTTTCTGAAATTAATTTTCTTCAGCGTTTAAGTCATTTATGATGGATAAGTGTTTAAGATTCTTTTTCAATGATATTTATTGTCTGTAGTATATATCTAGATGTTTCTGTAATATTGAAAAAATCTTTAGAATACTGCAAACAAAATATTAAAGATACTGTATCTATTTTATCATTAAGGTTTATAATTATTACAAGTAGAAGAGGTGAGATGACTTCAGTCCATCCTTAATTTCTTAGGGTTTAATTTTAATTCGACACCAACGACCATGTTTCTCAATGAAATAAAGAGGATGAAGATTTTAGGATGGCTCAATTATTTCAATTTCTGTTCAATTAGAGATATTTCTAGAGTAAATACTGTGTGTATGAGGTATGTCTTTATCCTTCAACCATTGATACATTTACCTTAGATTGGTCAGATCCTAACTTTTATCTTTTAGTATTACAGAAAATTATATTTTGACATAAATGAACATGCATCAGGCGTGGTAGTACTACTCTTTTGGACTACCAATCATTAATGGTAACTGTTTATGGGTGTTTTAAGTTCAGAACTAATTAAATTCCATCGTGGTCCCTTATTTTAATTATCTGTCGACAGAACTTCATAATCTTTGGCAAGAAACCTTTTCCTGGTGATAGGATTTTATCCAAAAGGTGTTTACCCCAAAGCGCCCAGTCTCCCAAACTATTAAGGTTATGCTGTCATCTATTTCAACTTCTACCTTAAAATGATATGGTGTAAGTTTTGTGTGTCAGAGAGAATAAGACCCCTTCACAGGTGATATCTTTAAGATTTTTTAAATTTCTATAAGGATGGTTCCAGGAGGGTTTGACATATAGGTCAGCACTTTCTTTGATTTTGTTACTAGATATTGCTCTGGACTTTAGGATTAAACGGTTTGTTTAAAGGCATTAGTGACCTAAGACCTCCTCTACCAAAATACGACTTAACATAGAAACCATCAACAGTACGGAATACCTTCAGGGATTGGTGTTTCAATAAAGAAATCCCTGTTATAAAATTATCAGAAACATTAGTGATATTATTAGCATTATTAAATTAGAGTTTAGAGTATACTACAGAAGAAGTAATTTAGTAAGCAGTTGAATATAAATAACATTTAATCAGAAAAGTTACATAGTAGACGAAGCAGTGAGGTACAATTGGGGTACCAAGAGAACCGTCAATTCCAAAAAGAAGAAAGAAAATCTTTTTGTATAATTAGTGAATTAATATATTGTTTGATTTGTTTTTAGTTTCAAAATTAATGTAAATTCACCAAACGTTGAGGGAATTTTGAGGGAAGTAAATCAGTTAAACTTGGAGGTAAGAATTTTTCAACTCATTAAGATCCAATTCATTATATTTGTTTTGAACCCACGGACCCTGAGATTAAGCAGTAAAAGTCGAGTTACCGGGTGAGTTAAAAAATTTTTTTTTTAATATATTGTAAAATTGATTGGTAGTAACAAAATTTTTATATTTTATCAAAATTATCTACATAATTTATAATAAAACTAAATATTTTCATATCAATATATTAGATGTATAAAGGGTTGCCTGAACAAAGGTAGAATTTACTTGCTACCAAACAGGATGATGCATGTATTAGAAAAGGTTCTTCAATGCTTAAAAGAACCTTTTAGAAACAATTTTGGTTTGTTGTTGAGAAATATTTACTCTTACATATCAAGAAAGAAATAACTGAAATTAATAAAATATAGTATACGTCATTCAAAAAAGGGGTAAGACCCATTAAATAATTTTTAATTGTGTGCCTAATCGGATAATGGGATTTTTTTATTTTGATGTTGATGTTAGGAATTGGACTGTCAGATTTTATGGGAGATTAGGTAACCTAGTTATTGAGTTTTTAAATTTGAAGATAAAATAAAATATTAAAAAAGGTTAACTTTGATTTTTTGAAAAAGAAGATATAAATAAAAAAAGGCGGTTTGGAAGAGTAATGAAAGAAGAAACGTTAAGAATCGGACTAGGAGTCAGGGAGGGGACAAAGCAAGGGTCAGAGGAGGAGTTAGAGAGCTGTGAACAGACTGTACAATGGAGAACAGAGGAACAAGAAGAGTTTTTTTATTTTCTTTGTAACTCATAATATAAAATTATTCGTTATTTTTTTTTTATTTATAGGTAGTAATAGAAGGCACAACGTTAAAGCGCTTTATATAATAATAATAATGCTCTCTATAACCCCTGAAGCCGGACTGAGCTTGTGTGGGGAAAGAGCGAGTATCATTATTATTATTATTTGTCGTGAAATGGTTTGACCAACTTAGGAAAAACCATTAAAATATATTATAATTTTGGATTTATATTATTATATACGTAAAATAGTATTTTTTTAAAAAATATACGTTACTCGCCGTCACTGCAGTTATAGCTAAACCTGAATCATAATCACTTTCTCAGAATGTTTCAAATTATTTGTTGTGTGTTATTTTTATTGAAATTAAATACGCATACTTAACTATCACTCTAGTGCTCTGAAACTAATTAAAAAAACATAAATAAAAATTTGTGTTAACTATTTTTTTTTTAAATATGAACATAAGTTCGAGTAATTGGTTTTTGTATCTAACTGCATTCGCAGGTAAGTAATTTCAAAAAATAAAACAGATTATTTAGTATTAAGTGTAAAGGTTAAAGAAAAGGTCCTTTATTTCTCACAAGTCAATTTATTGGCGACCGGTTTCGAAGTTGTCACTTCATCATCAGGCACACCTTAGTCAAGGTGTGCCTGATGATGAAGTGACAACTTCGAAACCGGTCGCCAATAAATTGACTTGTGAGAAATAAAGGACCTTTTCTTTAACCTTTACACTTAATCCCTACTACTCACATATGGCTACCCTCACTCCAGATTATTTAGTATTAAATTTATTATAAACAAGCCAAATTAATATTATTATACAGTGTGAGCTAACACTAGATTTTTATTAATTTTTGTCATACCTTTAAATTTTAAATGCCTATTTTTAAGACAATTTTAAAGCAATGTGCATAGTAAGAGTAAGTACTATTGATAAACTATTGTACTTTTAATATTATTCTGCTTTTTGGATATTTTTGTTTTTTATTTTGTGTAACATAGTAGTCCGTCCTTCTGCATGTACTACACTTGTGTCAATACCTTTATTTGATTGGATTTTTTGTCAATTTCATTACTTCTGCCTCTTTCGAGGGTCTACATCCATGCATGTATTCTTCCATGTCCTCTCCACTGTCTCCACACATCAATTCCTATAGATTTGTGTCCATTCTGCCAGTAGTTCTTCAATGGGAGGTTTACCCATTATTACAGCTAAATCGTCTAAAGAAACGTCCTTGTATGCGCTTGCAACCTTTATTAAAAGTTTTTTCTGCTTAGAAGTTAGAAAGTTTTTATATCCCTGATTATTAAGAGTCCTTTTCCAAATGGATCCGCCATAGAGTATGATCGAGTAGATTATGTTACACAGTACTTTTTTTTAGATTACTTCCCTCTTATGTTTGGCATCACCCTCGCCTGCAAAGCTATTGTACTTTTGCCTTTTTCGCGTACATTCTTAACATGTTCCCAAGGTACCTAGCTTCGGTCCTAGAGGTAATTTCTTTTCCTCCAAAGTTTAAAATGATTCATTACCTAAGTCATAGTAAAAATTATGGCAATAAAAGAAGCCGTTTAGATTTTATAAGATGATTTTTGCATTTTACGGCCTCACACTGTATACGTATATGTAGAGTGAATAAAATACATTAACTGTAGTTGTTTTTACAAATCAATTTATTTGGTCATACTCAACAACTAGGAACTAAGTATAAAAATTTTAAATTTGGCGTACCTATATTGTACTCGATATAGCAAAAATAATGCAACTTAAATCATAATTGAACTCTAGGTCGAGCTTGGTCAACTTTTTCCGATTCAAAAATATTTCGGTACTTTGAACTAAAGGAATATTTTTTTAAATAGCCTTATTATCTGGTTCATTATGAGTGTATAACAATTTTTATTTGATGGAGAATCATCTGCGACTGACTACAATGCAATTTGCAGATGAGTTACACTCAAATAAAAATTGTTATATACACTTATAGTATTTTCAACCTTGGTGGTTTAGAAATTTATTCCCAAAATTAGTAGGTAGGTTTTAAAAATTATGGATGTTAATAATTTTCTAGCGCTAATTAAAAAAAATGTCCAATCTGTCATCAAAAATTTATTTACCAAATACTAAAACTGTGTATTTTATTTCAGTAAATGTATTCAGCTTTATAATAGGATGCTTACTAGCTTGGAACTCTCCTGTACTTATACAACTTCAGTCAAATAATACAGACATTAATCCGATTGGACGACCGATAACAACTCTGGAAGTTTCAATTTGTACTTCTATCCTGCCTATGGGGTCCACCATAGGAACACTTCTTGTTGGAAAACTCGCAGACATTTTTGGAAGAAAGAGAATGCTAATTTGTCTTGCAGCTGGAGGAGCAGTTTCATTTGGTGCCATTTCAATTGCAACACATATTTATGTTTATCTTATATTTACAACAACTGCAATGGTTTGTATTTCAGCTGGTTTCGTAGTAGTACCCGTATATGTTACAGAAATAGCCGAAGATAAAAATAGAGGAAAATTGGGATGTTTTTCGTCAATTTTCATATGTTTAGGACAGCTGTATATTTACGTTTTAGGAACAGTGACTAACTTGGCATATATGTCATTACTCTGTGGGTTTCCTTTATTATTATTTTTAATAGTCTCTGTATTTCTACCAGAATCTCCAATATTTTTAGCTTCAAAAGGAAACAAAACAGAAGCGTTAGTAGCATTAAAAAAACTGAGAAGAAATAAGAGCTTTATCGATCTCAATAGGGAATATAATGAAAAGGAAACAATGCTAGATAGTACATCTAAAGAAGAAATCAAAGATATCAGAGTACTCTTTAAAACACGTTCTGGAAAGAAAGCCGTTATATTATCTATAGGTATTAGACTTACTCAGCAACTATCTGGTATGTTCATAGTTTTATCATTCCTTGGTCCATTGTTCAAAGAAACTGGAAGTAGTTTATCTATAGATGCGTTAACTATCATAGTGGCAGCTGCAAATATTCCCGTTGCTATTCTAGCTCTAAGTATAATCGAAAAAAAGGGAAGAAGACTTTTATTACTACTGGCAATTTTTTTTGATGGACTCTCAATGTTTATTTTAGGACTATATTTTTTGTTTAAAGAAAATACATTGATAATTATTCCAGATAGCGTTAAATTAATCCCAGTAGTTGCAATATTTATTTTTGTTTGTATGTTTACATTTGGTCTCAGTAACGTCCCGTTCATAGTAATTAGCGAGATACTTCCTAACGAAGTAAGATCTGTTGGTAGTAGTTTAGTTTTGGTAACAGGAAATTTAAGTAATTTTTTTATTGGTTTTATGTATCCTTTGGTATCTAGTTTAGTAGGACAATATGCATGCATGTTTGCTTTCAGTTTATTTTGTTTTACTGGATTCGTTTTTATATATTTTTTGTTACCCGAAACAAAAGGGAAGAATTTTTTAGAAATACAACGCGAACTAGAAAAGTAAATAAATTTTAAAATAGGAAGTGGATAGCATTGTAATTTTTAATGTTTATTGAGTAATATTTCGTCAATTTTAGTAAAAACATATGATGCAGTTAAAACTTAAACCAAAAAAGTATGAAATTAGATATCCCATCTAACTGGGAGATGCGAAAAATAATCTGTATACAGGAAAATATTATGCGTATTGTATTTAAACAAATTCCTGTGATATTTTTTATTTATTTATCTAAATGTATTTTTTATGGTAAATAAACTTTTTTATATTTATTATTACTTTATATGCATTGATCCAAAATAACTTATTTTCACAACTTCAATTTATGACAAACTCATAAAATTGATATTAGAATATGTTATATTCAGGATGGAAAAATGGCCTTGTATTGAGGATGGTGTTTTAATTTGACAGTGATATAGAGGAATATGGCCGACAAATGTTTTCGGTTTTCAGTAATGTACTGTCATAAGTGAGTAAAAAATTGATTTGACAGACCCGGGCAATTGGCCAGACATTGAAAAAATGACCGACCAGCAACGATCTTTCTTTACTACTCAAGCTGTGTTATTTGCAGAAAGTCATCCAGAAAACATTGAATATAAATTGGCAAAATATTTGTCCAGTTTCAAATCACATAACAGTCAATATGGTTGTGGTTTTTGAGGTTGATTTTATTGTAAGGAATTGGATTGTCAAAATTATTAGAGAGAGATTTTAAATTAATTGTTAATGGTAAATTTAAAAAATGTTTCCTATATATTTTAGCGTTTTTGTTAATTTTACCAATTTCAACCGTTCCTAATTCTAGATTTTGAATCCAAATTTCCATTGTCTCAAAGTTTGTAGGAAACGACGTGACGTTAATCCTCTGAATATTAGAATGATTTGACCCATCCTGGGTATCGAGTCTTAAATTTTAGGGAGTAAACATTTTGAGGGAAAAATGATACAAATTGCGCGTTGCAGATAAAGATATTTTCTATTCAGTCAAATTCAAGAATAGTCACCCATGGAGGAACCATTGGAATATATTGGATGATCAATAAAATTTTGTATTTCTATTATTAAATATATTATGTAAAATAATATTTATTTCCAAAAAATCCTACGCTACTCCCCGTCACTGCAATAACAACCAAACCCTAATCATAATCACTTTCTCAGAATGTTTTGAATATTAGTTGCGTGTTATTTTAATTCAAATTGATATTTCACTATCACTTTAGTGTGCTATGTAACTTATTAAAAAATATACATAAAATTGCGTATAAAAGGATTATCAGTGACGGCAAAATTAACTTTATTTTTAAATATGAACATAAGATCCAGTAATTGGTTTTTGTATCTAACTGCAGTTGCAGGTAAGTAATTTCAAAAAATAAAACATTATTAAATTTATTATAAATTAGTCAAATTTAATATTATTATACTGTGAGCCAATAGCAGCGTGTTTTGTCCAATAAAACATGGTCCAATTGTGTTTTCTTTTTGATGTACAGCATATTTATTGTTTTATATTTTTTAAAAATATTTAAAAAAGCTTTGATGAAATATTTCAAAGTTTGTTAAAAAAACTTGAGCTTCCTTTTGGACATGTTTAATTTGATTCAGTAATTCCAGAGAAATCCTCACAGAGAACTTTGATTAGAAGAAATTCAATCATTCTAAATGAACATTATCACTATTATAATTTCTCAGACTAGTTTGTGTTATAAACTATAAATGATAACACCATAAAAATCAATTTTCTATACAGCTTTTGAAATGTATCAATTTTAAATTATTTCAGTACTTTGATAGAATATTAAAAATTTCTGCGGTTAGCTGAATCCTTATTTACTTTAAGATATAAGTACTGCTACCTGGTTAAATAGTGATGGTACTTTTCATACTTGATGGTTTTAGAATTTATTCCTAAATTTATTAATACGTTTATTTCAAAATGTTCAATAATTATAGCTGCTAATAATTAAAAAAATATATGTAATCTATTTACTAAGAACTATTAAATCCACTTACTTCTAAAACTGTCTTATTTTATTTCAGTAAACGTGTTCTCCTTCATAATCGGATGCTTACTAGCTTGGAACTCTCCTGTACTAGTACAACTTCAGTCAAATAATAGAGACATTAATCCAATGGGAGGACCGATAACAACCGTAGAAGTTTCAATTTGTTCTTCCATCCTGCCTATGGGGTCCACTATAGGAACACTTCTTGTTGGAAAACTTGCAGACATTTTTGGAAGAAAACGAATGCTAAATTGTCTTGCAACTGGAGGAGCAGTTTCATTTGGTGTCATTTCAATGGCAACAAATATTTATGTTTATTTCATATTTATAACAACTGCGACTGTTTGTATTTCAGCTGGTTTCGTATTAGTACCCGTATATATTACAGAAATAGCTGAGGATAAAAATAGAGGAAAACTTGGATGTTTTTCGTCAGTTTTCATTGCTGTAGGACAGCTGTATATTTATGTTTTAGGAACAATGACTAGATTGGTATATATATCATTACTCTGTGGGTTTCCTTTACTATTATACTTAACAATTTCTGCATTTCTACCAGAATCTCCAATATTTTTAGCTTCAAAAGGAAACAAAACTGAAGCATTAGTAGCGTTAAAAAAACTGAGAAGAAATAAGAGTCCATTCGATCTCAATAAGGAATATAGTGAAAAGGAAACAATGCTAGATAGTACATCTAAAGAAGAAATTAAAGACATAAGAGTACTCTTCAAAACACGTTCTGGAAAGAAAGCTATGATATTATCTGTAGGTATTAGACTTACTCAGCAACTGTCAGGTTTGTTCATAGTTCTGTCATTTCTTGGTCCATTGTTGACAGAAACTGGAAGTAGTTTATCTATAGATGCGTTAACAATCATAGTGGCAGCTGCAAATATTCCCGTTGCTATTCTAGCTCTAAGTATTATCGAAAAAAAGGGACGAAGACTTTTATTACTGCTGGCATCCTTTTTTGATGGACTGTCAATGTTTATTTTAGGACTATATTTCGTGTTTAAAGAAAATACAGATATAATTATTCCAGATAGCGTTAAATTAATTCCAGTTGTTGCAATATTAATGTTTCTTTGTATGTTTACATTTGGTCTCAGTAACGTCCCGTTCATAGTAATCAGCGAGATACTTCCTAACGAAGTAAGATCTGTTGGTAGTAGTTTAGTTTTAGTGACAGGAAATTTAAGTGCTTCTTTTATTGGTTTTATGTATCCTTTGATATCTAGTTTAGTAGGACAATATGCATGCATGTTTGCTTTCAGTTTATTTTGTTTTACTGGATTCGTTTTTATATATTTTTTGTTACCCGAAACAAAAGGGAAGAACTTTTTAGAAATACAACTTGAGCTACAAAAGTGAAGGAATTTTAAAAGAATGTATGTGAAACAAATCAAGTGCGCGCCTAAAAATATGAAAAGGATGACGTTTTATCATCTAAGGTTTGTTGAATAATATTTCGTAAGTTTGAACCATTCAAGACTATTCGAAAAAAAATCATTTAAGATTTTTTTATCGGTCTGTTATTTTTGTGAGGGAATGGAGTAATAATAAAATTGGTGTATAATTTTTCGTTTTAATGTAAACATATTATTGAGTTTCATATTACGTTTTTTAATGAAAATTAGCAGATACCTGACGATTTTATGTATATATGTATATTATATTTAAATATTTTTTTACTCGAAAAATAATATCAGGAAATATAACTTTTTATAATTATTGAATTATCTTTTAATTTATTTAAAATACCTATTTATCTTTTTTACAGTTTTTTTTAATATTTTATGATAAAAATTATTATTTGCTACAATTTTAAAATATTGTTAGTGCTTTAAAAATAAATATAGAAAATTCCTTTTGTTTTAGTTTGAAATTAATTTTTTTAATAACAAGGTAATAGGTATTGTAACCTGCTCTAAAAAAGTTTAAAGCTAAATTGTAACCATTCAGATAAATGTTCAGAATGAAAATTAATAAAGGCTATATCAAAATTATTTAAATCTATAGACGTAACAAAAATTTTGTAAAAAACTCGCATCTTTCCTTACTATAAGTCGTCTTTTCTATTACTTAATATGTGATGTATGTCAATTATTTGAGGTTAAATCAACATTGGCAGAGCACATTCTATATACCAGTTTTCCTTTGAAAAAAATACCACAGATGGCAGCAAGAGAGAAGGGCACTGAATCTACTCTGTGACCTCTTTAACTACGGTGAATATTATAGGTAGTATTGGAAGAAAGAGAGAGAGAGAATACAAGGAAGGACACGTGGATCGGCGCAAATAGGTGAAGTAATATTTTCTACAGTACAGCTCCTGTACTTGTATACTGAATCAGGAATTACTACTAGGTGAAAGGAAAAAGTTGTACCAGGGGTCCATAAATGATTTTCATCTGCCAAAAAAATTGATCCATATATTTGGCTTTACCGACTAAAACCCGTTTGGAAAATGCTTAATGCACATCAGTTGCTGCCAATATAATAGTGCAGGATTTCCACCAACTATCACATCTCGTTACTTTCTAACTTTCATCGAGATGCTCTGTATGTCTGTTTCTTCCATCATCTTTTCTTTCATTCTGGTAAAGACCAAGGCATGGATTATTTCTTATCAGCCTTTTTGTCCATTGCGCTTTGCTCTCTATATCATTCAGGCGAAATTAAGACTAGTGATTGTAGTGAGTTAAGTAATTTGTTTCCTTAATTCGGAAACATCCTGTGTACTTATTTTGTTTATAATTTATTACTTTTTAAAATTTTGAATTAATTTTTGATAACAAATTGTTTTTCCTACAAGTTCATTTATTTAAATATTAGTCTAATTTTTAACTTTATTATAGTAATTTGAAGTACAAGTGATATAGCAATATTTTTGAAATGTGGAAGTCAGTTAATTGGTTTTTGTATTTTGCTACAGCTGTAGGTAAGTAGACAAAAAAAAATAATAATACACAAATAGAAAAATAATAATTGCAGTTTAAGTGTTTTGATTTGGTACTTTAGCTACATCCACAGAATTATATTTTAACCTTGGACTAAGGCTATCTGCATAAAAAATGCTTTTTTTGATTGAAATAAGCTGATACTATATAATACCCTCGCAGTGACACGATGACATCATATGATTTAGTGCTTCAACAATGATTGGTATTACTTTGTACAGTACACTCTCATAAGCAAATGAGGCACACTATCAAAGGCCTTTTAATAGTCAATATAAGCTATAAAGAGGTTATTCTGCTTATAATGTATTGTTTCAGAGGTGTGTCTGGATCTTGATCAGGATAACCTGAACTTGGGTCTCGTTAGTAATGTCCAGGGTCTTGTTGATTTGCCTTTTGATCAATTTGCAGGATTGCAACTTTCACTTCATCAAAAGGAATCTATTTTGCTGCCTCTTGCTTAATTTAAGCCTCCGGGACACGATTCCTTCGGAAAATGGCGCATCTTTGGTCTGCTATACGTTGCTTAGTAAGTTGACGTTCGGGATACTTCTGATGTAACAATAGTAGGTACGCTCCTGTTTCATTTTGGTAATATCATAGTAGCAAAACAAGATGTATTCATTCATTTTTGTTGTCCATTTCACTGTGGCCCCTAGTCTAGCTAGGGAAACGCGTCTTGCGACCGAAGTCCAGGGTTTAGTTATTTGATCGTCCTCTTCATCGGGCTGATTATTATTAAAACTGCGTTTCCTATCATAACCCTACCCTACTCTTTCTTGTAATAGGTGAAATTAAATCACAACCAAAGGAGATGACCCTTCAAACCTATTTAGCGAATTTGGGATAGGGAAACATATCACGAAAAAAAAAAAAAATAGACCTACAAGGTAGAAATTCCTACAAAATAACAAAATATTGCTAAATAATTCCGAGTTTAAAAAGCTGTTATTTAGAATTTATTAGGTATAAAAAGATGGTTCTAAGCTTAAATTATAACATAGATGCAATCGAAAACTAGTTATTCAGGATTAAAATTGCCAAAAACTGAAGGAAGGTAGAACATTTCTAGGTTTCTTAGATTTTTTTTTGAGTTTTGCTGCTTTATCACTGGAAGGAACATGCTCAGCTTTAAAGATAGTAGACAAGCACTACTCACCCTTAACAGACCACGAATTTACTCAGGGTTAGTACTAGAATGTCACGAAGTTTTGGCCAAAGTAACCATTAACAATATGGTCAACTTAAGATGGATCAAAGGTCACGCCATATCGAATGGTACTGTCTTGCAAAGAAAACAGCCACCCAACATTTTTTGGACCTGGCTCTTCTACTGGCCTGCCAATGTCATTAGTGGACAAATCTAATTAAAGTACATTCCCTTGTGAAATTCAAGGAAAGATGGGATGAAACTAGAAGCTGCAGACTTGCAACACTCCATACGTTACAGATACAGATGGATACCAGATTAATATAATGCATTTCCACGATTATCGTTTATATGTTAATTTTCCATTCTTTCACTGTTGTCACTTCTTTAATCGATGATTTTGGTAGGAAATGAGCATAATTTAGTTATATTAGCCTTTATACTGTTTGTCCCAGTATTTGTATTTTATAGGTTTGGAACTTCTTATCTTAAAAACAATATGTAGTTATTTATGACATATTTTTCGTCCCTTTTTACTTGATGATGGCAATTTGGCCAAAACCGGTTTCTATTTAATTTAATTAACAGCAATTTTTGTATATAGGATTTATTTAGAGTATCACTTCTTACTATTAAAACTGAATGCGAAAATTGATGTTATTTCTTTGTATACTTTTTGAACTAGTTGAGACAATGAAATTTGATTTTCACTAATGATAATAATTATTTTGATTTCATTTAAAGACGTGTATAGTATTGCATTATTTTTGGCACACACGTTATTTTTTATTTAAACAACACATCAATAAACTAAACACTTTCTTTAATTTCAGTAAACTTGTTTGTCTTTACAACTGGATGCATTTTGGCTTGGAATTCTCCAGTACTCGTACAGCTTCAATCAAACGATACGGTCATCAATCCACTAGGAAGACCATTGACAGTAATTGAGGTATCTATTAGTTCTGCAATAGTTCCAGTTGGATCGACACTGGGCTCAATTTTCATAGGAAAAATTAGTGACATTTTTGGAAGAAGAGCAAGTCTTACTTATTTAGCAGTAGGAGTGATTATTTCGTTTACTGGCATTTGTTTTGCGAGTCACGTTTACGTTTACTTTACATGTTTTTTAATTGCAACTATTTGCACTACAGCTGGTTTTTTAATTGTCCCAGTATACGTTACAGAAATTGCCGAAGATAACAACAGAGGATTAATGGGATGTTTTCTGTCAATAGCAATATCTTTGGGACATCTCTATGTATACGTTCTGGGGCCAATAACTAGCGTAGGAATGCTTTCGTTACTTTGTGGAGCACCCTCCGCTTTATTTCTGATATTTAGTTTATATTTACCGGAATCTCCTATATTTCTTGCTACAAAGAAAGAAAAATCGAAAGCTTTAGCAGCGTTAAAAAAATTGAGAAAAAACAAAAGTCCAACAGAGCTAAAGTTAGAATATAAGGAAAAACAAAGAATGTTAGAAGATACATCTAAAGAAGACGTTAAAGGTATCAGAATACTCTTTATGACACGGTCAGGAAGGAAAGCAATAATATTATCATTGATAATAACTATAACTCAACACCTGTCTGGAGTATCTATTGTCCTATCGTTTATGGGACCGTTGATCAAAGAAGCTAGTAGCAACCTCTCTGAAAATATTTCTACAATAATCATAGGAGCAGCAAATATTCCTGTATCTATTTTGGCTCTTTTTTTAATTGAGAAACAAGGAAGAAGATTTTTATTCCTAGTAGCTACTTTTTTTGATGGATTGTCAATGTTTATCTTAGGACTTTTTTTTGTTTTTAAAGACAGCGATTTATCTTTACCCGAAAGCGTCAAATTTGTGCCAGTTTTGTGCTTGTTAGTTTATATGACCATGTTTACTTTTGGTTTAGCTACTGTTCCTCAAGTGGTGACTAGCGAATTACTACCTAACGAAGTGAGATCTGTCGGTTGCAGTCTGGTTATGGTAGTTGGAAATCTTACTGCCTGCGTTGTCGCTTTTGCCTACCCAATCGTTTCTGATCTTTTGGGGATATATACCTGCATGTTCGCTTTCAGTTTATCCTGTTTTTCTGGATTTATCCTTGTTTACTTTATGTTGCCGGAAACAAAAGGCAAGAGCTTAATAGAAATCAAACGTGCGCTAGAAAAGTAAAATGTAACGTACGTTGTTATTAAATTACTCTTGGGAGTAATCTTGTGTTCATTATTGAAGTTGACCACATTTTTCAACAGTTGGCATATTTCGTGGCTTCAATAGCCACTTTTAACCACGCAAGTTTATTGCATTTTTTGCAATTTTATAGTCAAATCTTGCAGGATGACAAATGCTAGAATATATTGCAACGTTTTACAATGCTAGTAACAAGAATATTTTAAAATTTGTTGGTAAAATCTAAAACACTTGTTTTTTCTTAATGACTCCTCAAATAAGACATGTCTATAAATTTACTATTATTATTTTTTATTTTAATATTGACATATAAAACATGCTGAGGTATTTAAGCATTTGCGATCTTTGTGTAAGGTGTAATTTAAGTATTTTATTTTTAAATTTTTAATAATACGTATTTATTCACTCAAATAAAGAAGTACACTGATAAAACTGAGCATCTTTATTTTAAATAACAATATTAATAATAATAATAATAATAATAATACTTCGTCACTTGGAAGATGACGAAAATTACAAGTATCTTGGTGTTGGTCAACACCGAATGCATGACCCTAACATTGTCAAAAAAACGCTCCGTTGTAAGTATAGGCAGCGTCTCCGGAAAATATGGGAATCCCAGCTTTCCGGAATCTACAAAGTTGCTGCCACTAATATGCTTGCCATTGCTTGCATCGATTTCACGCATTTACCTTCCACGTCATCAAGGGGGCAGAGGTCTTCTGAGTCTGGAGAGGTTGCATGATAGATTAACTGTGAGTTTGGCTTGCAAGGTAGCTAATAGTGCGGACCCACTACTGCAGCTGGTTCGAGACCATGAAACAACTAGTATCGGGACTTTTCTTTTTAAGGTTGCAGGTAAAGCTGCGGATGAACTAGGTCTCAGATTTGAAATAGATGACAACCAATCTCTTACAAAGTTGAAACTTGCTCAAGTGAAACGTCTAGTTAGGGCAGCAGAACAACAGCTGCTCTTGGAAGATCACGTCAGCAAACCCCAACACGGTATTTTTTTACAATCTATCTCGGGAATTAACTTTCTTATTTCTTCGATCAGCTGACCTGAAGTCTGAGACAGAAGGATTCTTGTTAGCTTGTCAGGATGGCGTAATTAATACTCTCGTATACCGCGCCCAATTTACGCATGTGACAGATGTCATATTCAGAACATGCCAACAATACCCGGAGATATTAATGCATCTTTTGTTCGCTTGCCCGGTGCAAGCTGTGTCTGGGTACATCTACAAGCACAACGCCGCATTGAGAGTTCTCTACTATCATCTGAGACGTCACTACGGTATAGATGAGACACCAGTTCTGCCAGACGAAATTGAAGCGGTAGTGGAAAATAACAGTTGCCGTATTTATTGGAATTACGCTGCTGTTGGACAAGCAGAGTCATTCAATGTTTGTCACTGAGTTTTCTGCACCAGCTGAAACCAACATTCTTATTAAGGAGAGGGAAGAGCATGCCAAATACATTCCACTGATTGGCGAGTAGCAAAGAATCAAGGACACTATGCTCAAGGAGCTACAAAAAATACCGGCTTGCCGAGACTCATCAAAACAACTAGTGGTGAAGATGCAGAAAGCGGTAGTCTTTGGGCCCCTTCGTCTTTTGAGGCAATTGAATTTGGCCGAAGATCACTGACCGAGCGGATGTAAGGAGTGATCTTCTCAGCGACCATCAGGCCTTTCACGTAATGTACTGGGTCTGTCGGAGCCCCAGGAACGTTGCGACGAATTTTTTACACACAATAATAATAGAAAAATATATTTTAAGTTGTTTTTCATCTAAAAAATCACATTTTCTATTTGGAGACCCCTTTTGAAATGTCTTTCTATAGTAATAGATAAATACGTGATTTTTTCTTTTATAGATTTTCTTAAACTTTACCTAAACTACCCCAATGAACAACAGATTTTTACCGTGTTGGTATATCGAAAAATCTTTATAAAATTGAGCCAAACTTTCATTAAAACTACAAAAAAGTTTCAATTCAATATTACTGTAGGAATACGCAGTGATAAACAAATTTTTGGTCGCCAAATTGCTTATCAACATTTGCCATAAATTTTCGCCATAATTTGAAGGTTATTTGAATAGTTTTGATAACAAAAAAAAGATTTTAATTTTATTTTTACAATTATTAGTCTAACAGATTGTATCGTTGTACACACTTAAAACAAATCATTATTATAATAGTAATAAATTTATTTAAAGTATGAAGTGGAAATCGTTTAACTGGTTTTTACATTTTGCTACAATTGCAGGTAAATGCAAAAATAGTAATAATGATAATAATATTAATAATAATTTATTATATTGTTTGATACTCATTCATTGTACACTATATTTTTACGATTAATTTGTTATAAAAACATTTTAAAACCTTTGAGTAAATGAAAAAATAATTATTTAATTATTTATCTCAAGCCACAAAAAAGTAAAAGATTATTTATAGCAGAGTACCTATCGTAAATAAATTAAACTCGTATAAACTAGGTACAAAATAAAATAAAAAATAATAAATTGATATGACTCCAATATGCTCCTTTGGGTGACCCCAAGATAAATGTGTAATTATTTATTATAGATAATTTAGATAGTTTAATTTTTTTTTATTTTATAAGACTTTCTTGTAAATCCACAAAGTACCAGTACTAGAATAGAAGGATTCTTTATCAATTTTAAACTTATTCCATAAGAAAATCTCAGGTCTGGCTTTTCAATTTCATCAATTGATTTAATAACTTTTTATAATCTACCAACTTTGTCAGCTTGGTAACACAGATTCCTGTTAATTTTGTTATTTAAAGTATCTTTTTAAACAGTAGCTTGAAATTGACAGGTTGGAGCTCACCAGTCATGAGCACCGACCTATTTTTCACCCAGCTCAATCTATTTTATTGTACCAGAAGTTATGGAAAATTTAATTAATTATTTTTTCACCTTTTAACAGGGCCGGATTTACCATTACAGCGCCCCTAGGCCCGAATAAATTTGGCGCCCCCTCTCCCCCCCCCCCCATCATACACTGATAGAAGGATTTTTTTGTCTGAAATAAAATTTATTGATAGTTAATAAATATCTCACTTTGCACCATGTTCAAATGGATACGTGTTAACAGCGAACTAATAATTTATTTAAATATAATTCTTTGATTATTTATAATATTGAATATTAATTACCTTCTCCAATTTTGTTTTTGTGTTAGCACTACAGGTTTCGCCCTCAATTGAATTCAGGGCCAACCAAATGAAAATAATAATTCTTTGAGCCAAGTGAACAATCAGTTTTATGTAGAAATAAAAACTACAACTATATAATACATAAAATGTGAACAATAATATATAAAATCTTATAAAGCCTTCCTTCTTGCTTTCTTTCGAGCAAATTTGTCTATGATGTCATCGTAGGAAATCGATTGAGTTAGTCTCCCCTCGATGGCGAGCATGGCTAGTGATGTCAATCTGTTGTGGCTAGTTGTAGATCTCAGGTAGTTCTTCACACGACGAAGGGTGAAAAAGGATCTTTCTGCTGAACAGTTAGTGGCCGCAGCACTAAGAACCATTCTTAACGCAATGTTAGGGTAGACATCTACCATGTCAAAATTAAACAAAACCTTGCTAATTTCAATCATACTCGTTCTGGTATTTTCGTTTTCAGTGTTTTTCAACAAAACTGCTTTTAAATGTAAACACTCGTCCACAACAACAGGCTCAAGATCTTCGGGATACGCACTCAATAGTTCTCTTGCACATTTGGTGGTATCAGATGCCTCAAGACTTTTGATAGTTTCAAGAAAACCAAACCTATTGTGAAGATCAGAATATTTACACTCACGTTTCTTAATTTCGGAGTATAGGGAGTCCAATATGCAGTTAAAAGTTCTCCGACCCTGTAAATTGATCATCACTGCTAGGACCACCATATTCACCAAACTTAGTAGGTACCTTCCTTTTGCGCCGATTATCAGCCATATACTCTCTCCTACACTTCTCTTTCGCTGATCGTTCCAGGTCATCAAAGTTAATCCTTACTTCTTGAAGAAAACCACACAAAGAGTCGTAATAAGCAACTATTTTTCCTAGCTCTGTGATTTCGTACTGCAGCTTTACATTTACTTTATTACACCTTTCCAGAATTAAGCCCAACAGTGCTGCCATAATGGTTGTCTCAAGGGAACTTAGCTTTTCATTTATAATCCTAGCTTCATTTCTTGTGGAGTGCCTCTCGTCACAGTCACTAGCAATTTCATCTAAACTTTTTAAAATTCCTTCTCTGCTTTCATTAACAGCTCGGCAGGCGTCGTCACGAGCAGACCACCGAGTCTTTGAAAGGTTTTGCAACTTTAATGTACAGTTTCTCGTCAAAATAGTTCATCTATGTAGTTAAGCGCTAAAAAAGTTATACAGCTCCTGGAGCAATCCAAAAAAGGAAACAGCCTCCTTACATGACTCAGCTGCACACGAGCCTACTAGGTTTAAGGAATGCGCAGAAAAAGGTAGATACTCCGTCAGAGGACTGAGCTGTTTGATACGAGCTTGAACTCCAGAGTAAATGCCTGACATATTCGAGGCGTTATCATATGATTGACCTCTACAATTGGAAATGTCCAAATTAAATTTTTTAAAAAGACCCAATACTGTGTTTACAATCTCTTCTGCTATGTGGCCAACATTTGGCACAAAACAAATAAATCTCTCAATCGGCATGCCATCAATAGCAACATACTTAATTACGAAGGTAAGTTGGTCCACATGTGAAATGTCCGGCGTGGAGTCTAATATAATGCCAAAATATTTTGCTTCTTGAACTTCTTTTAAAATTGTGTTCCTAACTTCTTCTGCCATAAGGGCGATAAGTTCTTCATAAGTAGTTTTCGAAACGTACGACGTACTACCCGAACCTTGGTCGCCTATTGACGTAAATATTCGGCTATAAAAGGGTCGAATTCGGCTAGAGACAGAAGTTCAATGAAGTTTCCACTGTTAAGTTTATCTAAGTGTTCATCAGATCCTCGGAGAGCCAACCCTTGTACAGTTAAATATTTAAACAGCTGCCATCACTCTCTTAAGTACTTCCCTCCAATAGTGGACTTCAAGTTCTAGAGCTTCGGCAAGTCTAACATCAACACGACCTTTTAAAGAACACCTAATTTTTAGTTTTTCTAAACTGTTTTTATGGTTAAAACTGTTTTCATGGACTTTTACACGTTGATTAGCGCATTTTTCCAGTCATTGAAACCGTTTGAAAATGCGCCCTTGTTATCCGACTCGTCAAATATCATACACGGAACGCAGAAAACAGAACCTTTTGATGGTGAATACGCTCTGTTTTTTCTCTCTCCATTTTGAAGTTTTTTCGTAAACAGACTCTTAGACAGAAAGTGAATTTTATCTGGATACGGTCTTTTGGATTCATTAAAATCGGAGTCACAATTTTGCTCTACACTACTTTGGGCACAAATATAATTTCTTAGTTCATCACTTACATCCCATAAAGCCGGGTCGGAACTGAAGAAGTCTGCAGTACTTTTACTACATGAACTCCGTCTTCGGCATCAGCAGATTTATTTTGAAGTTCTGGTACAAGATCGGGTTCAAAAGCAAGTTCTTCGGCGTTGGAACTGTTAGAAGCGCCATGGGAAATACCTTGTACATTTTAACTATTACCATCATTACTAACTTGACTTCGTTAAAAAAAGTTGTTATTTTAGGAACTTTTTTAATAACTTTTTCATTTTTCTCATCTTTTTCTTCGCGCCTTTTTCTAAACTCTACACCACTAGGTTTTGATTTAAAGCTCATTATTAAACACTCATGAATATTTTAAGGTGAAGGGTGAGAAAAAGTCCTTTATATCTCACAAGGAAAGCCAATGTTTAATTGTTTAACAAAACATTGAGTGCGACCGGTTTCGAAGTGTCATCACTTCATCTTCAGCCAAACGATATCGTTTGGTTTCCAACACACCTTACACCACATATTCTCCTTTCCACTAGGCGAGCCTGAAGATGAAGTGATGACACTTCGAAACCGGTCGCACTCAATGTTTTGTTAAACAATTAAACATTGGCTTTCCTTGTGAGATATAAAGGACTTTTTCTCACCCTTCACCTTAAAATTACCTCAACTCACACATGGCTACCCCCCTTGTCAACTCATGAATACAATAATAAATACTTATTTCCAACAACAAAGTAATGCCGTATGGACCACACCGTAAAAGTTAAATATTAAGATAACAGCAAATCAGCATTAGAAAACATGCGAACAAAGCACTGATTTAAGACAAAGCACTTGACCAGTGACAACGACAAGTGGCTTACTAACTGCTGGTGAGGTCAGGTGACAGACTGAGACAGAAGAGTTTAGTGGCGCGTGTGGTAATGGCGGGGGGTAGGTTGATATGGCGCTTATGCCTGGACTCGACCTAGCAGCAGCCAGTAGAGGCACTCGCATCTAATAGTCAAGCGCGTGGCTTGAGATTTGGTCAAGCGGACGCTTCCTTCATTTGCGGGCAGGGCGCCTCCGTTAAGCAGTTTGTTTTGTGACGATTCTAATGCGAATTTACATACTTCACATAAACTTACATAAAATTGTGTCAGAATTGGCCTAATAATAGTAACACGGTATAATAATAGTATGAGTAGAATCTTTTTTTAAAATGTAAACTAAAAAAAATTGATTTCGATTTTTTTTTATGACAGGGCGCCCCTTGGTGCCGTGCGCCCCTAGGCCCGGGCCTAGTGGGCCTAGTGGTAAATCCATGCCTGCCTTTTAATAATTTTAGCGCGAATTGTGTTGATCCTGAATAAAACCGTTATAGTTTTATTTCTTTAATTGTAAATACATCTGCATAGCGTTGTCAACAATATCATAAATTTTGCCTTTATCTCAAGAATCAGCTCGTTGGGATTTTGTACGTTTTGTAAGCATACAATCAAACATACGTTTTATTTCTTGCAACTAAATACTTGAAATATATAATGATGACACTTTTAGGTATGTTATTTTCGCAAGAAAAATTATAAATCTTTCGTTCCTATTACCTTGTAGAACATGAAAATACTTTTGCTGAAGTCCCTGCAACAGTAGAGCGACGTCTTAAAATAGTTGATGTAGAAAATGTTAATGTTAATCAAATTTTTTCAGAGTAATTTATTTTTTCCAAAATATAAATTATTGGAATGTAGAAAACCATTTGCTGCAAGTTATTAGCTGGCAAAAATACATTCAATTGAGTTTTTTGCTTTATTTTACAAAAATTGATATTGTTCGAAAATAATATATTATTGTTAAAAATAAAATTTATTCAAGAGACCTTCAAAATGTACATTTTACATCTAAAATTTTTGGGAAAATAATTTTTTTTACATAATATAACATCGTTTTCAAAATTAAAATCTTTCTTCATCACTTTCAGCCTCATCCGTATCATCAAAATCATCATCGCTTGATTCTGATTCATCGCTAAATCCACTATTTGATCATTCAGTGGTTAAGCAAGGATTTCATTATCCTCATCTTCAGTTCGTTCTGTACATTTTTTTTATTTTTGAAAAGTTGTGATTAAATAAAACAGAAAATATTCTTTTAAGCACTTTACGAGTAAGCAATACAGCTTTTTTAACGTTAAATTTCGATTAAGCATAAGAGTAAACAAATACAATATCAACAATGATGTTCTGTAATTCTTATTACCTCCTATTATTACGAATGTGTGAAATATGTATCACACTGGATTACTGATATACACTTGAATAAGTTATTTTGACCCGATGATGATAGAAGCCGAAACTATTAGTCACTCATTCTCATTGTTACAAACAACATAAAAAATCTGTAGTAAAAACTTATTTATTTATATTTCTTCTCTTATAAACGAACCGTGATTGGCTGAATGACAGATATATCGGTGGAAAAAAATAGTTAGTGGGTGGATACATAACATGCTCCCAAAGCAGTAAACATAAGTGTAGAAGATATGAATATAAAAGGCTCATGAGCTCATCTTGTATATTATTCCAGCATGCTATACTCTGTCGAATGCCTTAGGGACATCCAAGAGTATAGCTCCTATTGACTGATTTCCGTTAAATCCTCTTGTGATACCTTCAACTAGTCACAGGAGTGTTCTTCTCTGAATCCGAATTGCTCGTCTGGTATAATGTAGGTAGTCTGGCCTCTTCTTTCAATTTTGATAAAATGACTTTTTCTGCAATTTGACTCATAGCTGATGAGCCTGTAATTTTACGAAAAAGTGGGATCCTTATTCGGTTTTCGGATCATGCTTACTCCTGCTTATTTCCAAAGTCTTGAGAAGTACTTACATGGATCTGAGGTCATCTGGGAAAGGAATATGATGAAAGAGTACCTTCTTTTTAACTAGGATAGCGATTCCTCCTGAATTATTAGCGGGATCGTTCCTGTAGACGCATCCTGACCACTTTAAGTTAGTCAACTTGGTTTCCTGAAATGCAATGGCGTTAAGGTTCTTTCTCTCTGGTTTTGCTAGTAAGATAATAAACAGTGATCTACTAAAATGTTTCTAAAGCAGGCCATGGTCGACAAAGAAAGACTATCATAATTCCAGGGGAGTACAACAAATACACCAGTAAAAAAAAAGTAAAGTCGTACATTTAATAATTTATTTGTCTTTGTTCTGTCTTTTTTGCCCTTATCAAGGTGCCAGAGACAGACTTGATAAGTAGGACATTTAAATCTAGTTACTTAACTTAGTTACTCAACTTAGTTTTGGAGTTATCTAATATTTTTTTCTGCTTTAACGTCACTTAAAGTAGATTTTAACAGGTAAAACTACTTTTGGATTTTCTTGCACTATTATTAGTAATATTAAACTTAACAGTACCAAAAAAAGCCTTACATAATAGAATTCGTTATAAATGAAGTAAAACCTGCAACACACACTTAAAAAGAAGAAGAATTGTATATATTAACCTTATCGGTCATAGCCTACTTTAAAAATACTCTTTGCTATTAAATTTCTTTTGTGATAGATAAGGAATTATTTTCCTTTCTAATCTATTTATTTGGTTTAGACACGCAAATTGGTTTAGTCTATGATTTGGCATTCCATATAATTTAAATAAATTTGCAGTACTCATATTGTTAGTAAATATTATTTAAGTATGACGTGAATTTGAAATTCAAAGTAGCGGAACTAGACCATTCTAAATTATCAAGTTATTTCTGGCAGGTTACAACTGAATTAATGCAGAAATGTCATACTATCATGTAAAAAGGTCTTAATAAATTTACAACAAATACTTTTGTAATATCAGGTTAACAAATAGGAATGTAGGTAATTGGTGTTATGTTAAATTTTATTGAAACTGATAACGTTATCTCTGTGAACTTCAATTACTCACACTTTCGGTATACATTAAAAAATACTTATGAAAATACTAAGTTTATTATATATGGTGACTTTAATTTTCCGGACATTCAGTGATATTTGGATGATAATGTGCTTGTCCTCAATCGAATTCCAATGCAGTCGGCTGCAGTTTTGGTTGAAACGATGTTTTTTCTAGAGTTTCAGCAACTGAATCCCATTCGTAACAGCCGCAGACGATTTTAATGACATTTCTGTAACAGAATCTCAAATGCCTTTACTACCTTTAGATTCCTACCATCACTCTGGTTTAAAAACAATTTTAAGTTTCAATTTCGGCCCATTAAGGAGTAACCATGAACTAGTTATTAGTATATCAGTATTTTTATTTATTCTAGTATAGTGGCTAATTAGCAGTGACCGCCTGGAATTATTTTTACCTCCACTGAGTTCACCTTGAGTACACTCTGGTGTATCACAGGGTCGCAGAGCAAACTGCGATACCAAAACTGGCGCCTGAGTAACCCCTATTCGGGAATCACCTTCATTGTGCCACACGGACTCGCTGATTCACTGTAGGTGAACCAGAAGCCTGTCACATTGTATATCTAGTTTGTTTGATTTTTTTTAATGTATATATACTTATAATTTAATTGTTTTAGCTTTAAGACTGTGCCATTTGGAATTAATAATTCTGTAGTGCACTTAAGACAATAAATAAATAAATAAAACTGTTCCCAGGTGTAGAGTAAGATTTTTGTAGAAATATTTTGGTAATCTCCCTCAGTAAAAAATAATATGACAAGTTTCTACAATTGTTTTTTGTTTTACAAACGTTACCGTATTTCTTTGAAGAATAAAAGTAACAATTCACTATTAACAGATGGCGCCCAACTTGTCCTTTACTTAACGAATTGTTTATATCTTTCATCTTTTTTTTTATTCAAATAAAATGGCGGTAAATTGACATTAGCGATTCTTCTGTTTGTAGTAGTACTGAAGAGTTGTTCCGCAATAAAATTCTGGTGTATAATATATACATCTGTAAAATTTACTTTATTTTAGCAAACGTATTCTCCTTTGCAATCGGACATCTACTAGCCTGGAATTCGCCTGTACTTACACAATTTAAGTCAAATGATACAGATGTCAATCCAATAGGAAGACCCATAACGGAGCTGGAGGTTTCAATTGGCGCTTCTATCATTCCTATAGGGTCCACAATCGGTACACTACTCGTTGGAAAACCAGCAGATATATATGGAAGAAAAAGAATTCTAAATTATCTTGCAGCTGGAGGAGCAGCTTCTTTTGCAGCTATTTCATTTGCAAGCAGTATTTATGTTTATTTTATATTTTTAACAACTGCAAGCATTTGTATTTCAGCTGGTTTTGTAATAGTACCGGTATATGTAATAGAAATGGCTGAAGATAAAAATAGGGGAAAATTAGGTTGTTATTCGTCAGTTATCATAACTGTAGGAGAGCTGTACGTTTATGCTTTAGGAACAGTTACTAACTTATTAAAATTGTCATTACTCTGCGGTTTGCCGTTTTTATTATTTATAACAATCACTGCATTTTTACCGGAATCTCCAATATTTTTATCTTCAAAAGGAAATAAAACAGAAGCTTTAGTAGCATTAAGAAAACTGAGAAAGAATAAAAGCATGAGTGAAATCAACAAAGAATGTAAGGAGAAGGAAAAAATGCTAGATAGTACATCTAAAGAAGAAATTAAAGACATCGGAGTACTTTTCAAAACACGTTCTGCGAGGAAAGCTTTGTTATTATCTGTAGGTATCAGACTTACTCAGCAACTATCTGGATTCTTCGTTGTATCGTCGTTTCTTGCTCCTTTGTTCACAGAAACTGGTATTAGTTTATCTGCGGATGTTTTAACTATCATAGTATCATCCGTGAATATTCTTGTTGCTATTCTAGCTCTGAATATAATCGAAAAAACAGGTCGACGATTTCTACTACTAACGGCAATTTTTGTAGATGGACTTTCAATGCTTGTTTTGGGACTGTATTTTGTGTTTAAAGAAAATAACTTTGTAATTCCAGATGGCGTAAAAGTAATACCAATTATTGCAATATTAACTTTTCTTTGGATGTTCACATTAGGATTAAGCAACGTTCCGTTTATAGTAATAAGTGAGTTACTTCCTAACGAAGCAAGAACTGTTGGTAGCAGTTTAGTTTTGGTAACTGGAAATATAGCCATGTTTTTAATTATTCTTATGTATCCTTTAGTATCACGTCACATGGGGCAATATACATGTATGTTTGCCTTTAGTCTATTTTGTTTCTCCGGATTTATTTTCATATATTTATTGTTACCCGAAACAAAGGGAAAGAGTTTTTTAGAAATACAACTCGAGTTAGAAAAATAAATGTTTACAAATTCATTTGTCGCTTCAAAATTTTAACTCAAATCCACGTAGGTTCAGATCCCAGATCAGACCTTTTTTAGTGATACACATTTTTGTAATATTATTTATTGATTTTTTATTGATGATCGTATAGATAATATACAATTTGTTTTAATTAAAAATTACTTTTATTTTATAAAATTCTCAAAATATAATATATTAGTTTTTAAGTTATACAGGGTTGTCCATTAATGCGTGGAAATCCTGTTTATTTTATATCTATAAACCAGATAGTACCAGATAAACCAGATGTCCTTTGGAAGTCTATTGATGGATATATCGACTATCCAAAGGATGTCCAGCGTTTTATCGACGTCCATTGGACTATGCAAATGTCCAACTTCTTGACGCCCAGTTGGTCTATATAAAGGTTTATATATCTAATGGACATCATCACCGACATAAATAAAGTGGACTGTATAAAAATAACGTATATATTACAAGAATGAAGCATGGGTAGAGTTTTGAAGTAAAACGCTCACCGAAACTATTTATTAATGTAAACCGAGCTTTAGATTTTGAACATTCAACATTTTCCATGGTTATCACAAAGTTTCTCGTTCCTGTTGCGGTCAAAGTGATGACATTCCACAGCTTATCCAATGCGGAATTAGGTCGCCCTTTCTGGCATCGAGATCGACATAACATAAGCACTTGGGTCGTGGAGACATGCCAGAGGTTACTCTATCAAGATACCGTGCGGCATACTTTGCGAATTGTGCGAATAACAAAGTAAAGATATCGAATTGTGAAATACTTATTTCATTTTGATTTCGTAAAATATGTTATTTGAATCATAAAGTAAAACGTTATAAATATCTACTGCTCACATTTTTGCTACAAACCTCCAACTAATTCTGAGTGTTTGAGGTTAGTTGCATTCAATTAAAATCTTATTCTAAATAAATATGAATGAAATAATCCAATATTTTTTAAATATTATTAGTGTTACAGACTTTCAAAAAATTCATAACCTATGTTCGTCTTCCTTAAATATTTAAAAGTAAGATACAATATTTGGAGAGAGATACATACTTTCCTAAAGTCATATGGTTTCAAGTTTTTTGTGGGTCTATGTCGAAGTCAATTAAATTATTGATCATCGTTTATTGATCATCGTTTATCAATAATCGTTTGTCGATCATCGTTTATCGATCATCGTTTATCGATCATTGTTTATCGATCATCGATTAACATGTCGAAAAACTCACGACCCAATAGAAAAGTCTTCTTCTCTTATCAAAAACATAAACGAAACATGAAAATAATAATTATACTTAAAATATTAAATAATTCTAACAGTTTCCATCACGGTTTTGCAAATTAGTCATTAAAAACAGATAAAATGCCAATTACCTGCGCATTATACGGCTTTCTTTCATGACAGTTATCATCACAGGAGAATAATTTGAAAAATAAATAATTACACAAAGCGATTTGCGCTTCATAAAACTGAGAAAATAGGAGTTAATAGACCCTGTGTTTTTAATTTTATTTTTTTTGACAAGTATGTAATTGCAAAAATAATTGCGTAATAACGAGTTAAATACCAGTTGTTAATTTGTTGAAATTTAATTAAAAATTTAAATAAGAGAAGGTGCTAATGAACTGCCTGATAATTAGTTTTTATAATGGTATAGCAGAATGTACCGACTATTAAAAGACAGTTTAATTTGGCTATGTAAGTAAAAATAGTGAACATTTTGTATTTGATTCTTGACTAAAAATTATTAACAAAATAAAGCAATACAAAAAAGAAATGTATTTTAAAAGTTTTTTTTAATATAATAGCCATCATACAATCTGATCGCAATGTGTATTTGCCACTTAACAACTAATTTACCTAACAAAGTTGTAGTGTAATGAAGTTTCGCGTGTTTAGGGTAGAGCAATCAGGATTTATCAAGATTTTTCTAACTAACGCAAAAGAACATAATCTACAACTATCAGATAACTTAAAGTGGCACCTTTTGAAATTACTCTCAGCCACGTTAGCTAAATTTCTTTATTAACATGAAGTTTACCAATTATTTTTCTTTTAAAGAAGCATAAATATTGTACGTATATCTAACGCCACTGGTCAGTGCTTTTTTATTTATTTAGTCTGTTAGAGATCACGTACCATAATAGGTAAAATGGCTTATAGCTACTGAGTTTTCTTTTAAATAATAAATAATTAATTTCATTTTCGAAAAAATATGTTCATTAACTTGTTCTCTAGCTATTAATAAAGACAGAACCACTAAAATGTGACATATCTGTAAATCCAATCGAGGTCATGTGAAGCATGTCTTGTTCTTAATGGACATGTCACTGGAGGTTGGATTGACTGGATGTCAACGGATAACAGCATCAAGAAAACATGTCATCTGCCGCGAAGAAACAAATAAATGTTAAGTTTAATCTTGATCAAAAAGGCCAAACGAATTATTTTCGTTTGGCTTTTTTTTCTTGGATGCTCTTCGCATTTATGAAAGATGCTTGGATTAGTTTCGGAACTTGTATAAGTGGATTCAGACTAATTAGGTTGAGTGTTTTCGTCTTTGGAAATATTTGTTGCCACCGAGAAACTACAATAATGTGAGTAATTTTAGAGTTATGTATAATTCCAAAAATATTTCTTTTACAAATGTAATAATGATGGGATATGAACATGGCGAAAGCAATAACAAAACTAAAAATATAAAATATCATCAAACAATGTCAATAATCAGCTGATGATACTGCTAAAAAGTGATGTCATATTTATTTATTTTTTATTTATTTATTTATAATTACATCACCAAAACCACCCAAAATGTACGAGGTCGACTTCATGAACCGTCTCTGAATTTTTTCAAGGTTGTTAATATAAATATTATACATAGGGTTACAAACTACACTGGCATATTCCAATATAGATCAAACAAAACAAAGGTACGAAAGTTTTAAAGTTTCTAAGCTATTGAACTCTTTGCCATTTCTTATAGCAAAACCAAGCATTTTGCTACCAGTCGATATAATTTTGTCTACATGTTTCGAAAACGTTAATTTTGAGTCAAGATCATTAATACAATCGGTTCTATAAATTATGGTACCATCTAAACTGTATTCGAATACTATTTTAGGCTTACTTTTCGGCTAAATATCATAGTATTACACTGAGATGGATTCAAAGGCAAATTATTTGATTCACATGCACCACTCGTTAACTATTTCTAAAGATTTCTGAAAGATTTCTGGAGTTCTCTGCAATCATCAATTGATCGTATATCCGCATACATTTTTAGATCATCAGCATATAGTAGAAACTGATATTATATCATTAATGAAAATGTTAAAAAGAAGTGGTACTAATATTGAACCTTGGGGTAGAGCGGACTTTTGTAAAAATAGAGCTGATTTGAAACCTTCATATTGAACAAACTGGAATCTTCCATTTAGATATGACTGAAAGAGAGAAATTAAATTTGGGGATAACCCATAAAAGATAGATTTGTAAGTTAAACAGTGAATTTCTAAATAAACACAAATATATGTGAACACGTAGTTTTATTTTAAATTTCGTTTTTACACCATCTTTTTCTCTAAAATAAAAACAGCTATTGTTAGCTTCTGTCCTGAAGACAAATATTCTTGCAAAAAAATATCCCCGACAGTCATTACGAACTTTATCCCTTGTGAAATCCCCATTGACTACTGGATGCAACTCCCTAACCAGAAAAATGAAAGCCGGAAAAGAAGCGTAGAAAAAAGAGTCGAAGAACAAACAAAACTAAAACAAAAACGAGTCTGGAAACGCCGTCTAGTCGCGTCATCGCCAACAACACTCAAAAAAAATGGTAATTACTCCGGAAAGGCATATGTGCAGATCCTCGTATGGCTCCACCCATAAAAACAAGGGAGGTATATAATAAGGCTAATGTGTGCATACTTCAGTACCCATGCAGGATGTAATTTGCCCCCTATAAATTTCAGTCTAATCCGATGTTGCCACTTGTTGGAACTTTTCCAAGGAAACTGAGATAAACCAGTTTTATATAGCAACGGAAAAATAAGACATATTGATTCTGGATTTCGTTCTTTACAATATATTTATTTGTATTTTAGTATTTAGATACTTTATTAAGAATAAAAACCAATATTGAATTGTGAACTTTAAACTAAAATCCATTTAAATACCTCCATGTTTTGTAAGTAGAACAAATCGACCAATAGGATTAAGTTTTAAAGAACGCATTTCTAGGCACGATAAATGGATCTGTTTAAGGATTTAGATACACTTCTGAAATAAATTTGAATTCTGGTAAATGTCTTGTATATTCAAAATAACTAAATGCAGACTTTATAAAAGTTTTGTAGCTCTTTTACAAATTTTCAGTAGAGATTATGTTGCTTACTACAACTAAATAGAGGAAAGTCAGAGGAAGAATATAAATAGAGAAAGATGGCGCTGCACTACAATTTAATTGATTGATTAATTGAATTTTTATGATTTATGTAATTTCATGAGTTGAAATGTGTATTCATAATTTTGTTGTAATAATAGATATTGTAGAAACTAATTTACATTACAATTTAGTTTCAAAAAACAAATAGCGATATTTTCACAAACTAAAAACGGCATCACCGCAATCTATCTCCCTTCTAATTACTCAAGTAGAAACAATGAAAAATGGGTTCGCTCTCTCCCACATTCACCTAACGCACAGTTGGTCGGTTATCTGAAACAGGATGCGACCATCGACCAATGGGAAGTATTTTTTTGAAGTGCGTTCAGATCAAGTGGTGCGTTCTTCAGTTACACACCGCACGACTCGTATCGGATTGT